TGAGCGACGAGAGATAGCCTCAAGCAAACCAGGGCACTCTCAGCCTCCCCTCAGTTGTCCAGAGTGAAAAACCACTGGGGTGTTCATTTGGTCGACGGGGGGTTCTAAAGTGGACACGGAGAGTAGCCACAACTAGTCTATGATCAGTTCCACAGAACTCGGCGCTTCGATACACCCTGCAGTTCTGGAGGATCCTCCACCGAGTGCTGACAAGGATGTGGTCGATCTCCTTGGCCACCCTACCAGTATCAATGTACCAAGTCCAGCGATGCGGGTCAGAATGCTGATACCAGGAGCCAGAGATCCTCAATTTCTGGGACCTAGCAAAGTCACGGAAAAAGGGAGGATTTTCTCGCTGCCAGTATCAGCTCCTGAGCCATGGGGACCGACAGAATCTAGTAGCCAGCTCGATCACAATCCGGATACCGCATTGGAAGTCGTCCCACAACCCAGAACATACGATATATATATATATATATAATATATATATATATATATAGATATCCACGATAGAAATTCCACGGGGAAGAAACGTATCTCTTATTATAAATAGGAGGATCAAGACAGCAGGAAATCACATCATGTGCATTTTCATTTATTAAGCTTTCGGAGATCAACAACTGTGTCCATCATCAGAATCTGTATATATGAGAGAATTACATTTGAAAAAAACTATGTACATACTAATTAAAAATATCTATAGCGAAAATAAGAAGCAAGATACAATGGTAACACAAAATTATATAACTAAAACTATTGGGAAAATACTAACACAAACAAAATAAGATGGAATGTGGAGTATGTGACTGTCATGTTGGCGTGACGACAGTTTACGGAATTTGAATTCCTCGATGTCCGTTGTGGGTGCGTGTGTGTGTGTGGGGGGGGGGGTAAATGGATAGCAGACTGCCCATCTCATTTTAAACATATTTGTATAGAAGATTATGTTGATGACATATTCCTATTCGTTCAATGATGTTTCACATGTAAACATTTGTTTTTAGACTATGTTAATTCTAAACATGACAATATACATTTTATATATATGAATGCATATATATATATAATATATATATATATATAGATATATATATATATATATATATATATATATATAATATATATATATAATATATATGTATGTATGTATATATGTACATATATTATAGTTGTTGCCTTTAGCATCAATCTATTTGAATTATCTCCTCAGTGTCTGATATAATCTTTGCAGTTCATACTAGTCATATTTTTCTCACAGATTTAACTCTTCAAACGTTGTACGATTATGTTATACAAGTGTGAGGGAAAGTTCACAAATGTTTAGAGAATTTACATTATTTATTAACTGAAAGAATATTATATAGTCAAAATGCAAAGCCAATCACATATATTGATATGCCAATAATTCAACATCTAAGTTCATTATAATCCAATACAATAACTATACACACTTAAATATCCATCTTTTAGTTTTAACAATTAGCTTGCCATTTTACTCTAAATGTTAACATGCAAACAACTACATAATGTCAATTTAAGCAAGCTGTTATTAATTATGAAATTAGAGCAAATAATGTCAATGCTTAAATTGGATATAAGCAATAAGTAAAAGAATTCCTCTCTTCACATGCACTGATTGAATCATCAAATTATTAGTAAACAAATAGAATTACAAAAATTAGTGAAAATTACATTTAAGCAAGTGAAACTTCTTATACCAAGCAATTTAAAATACTAAGTTAATGTTCTTACACAATTTCTAACTTAAACTTAAGATATCTCCAATAAAAAATAAATGAGTACATTTCAAAAATGGACAGAAAATATATTATACTTAATCAGGCAATCTACTAATAAATAATCTCATAAGCGGTAATCAAGCAAAAAAAATATTCTAGAAAATACTTACCTAATACATACATTATGCAAACACAAAATTATTATTACGCTCCAAATTAATAATCTTCATCACTGTTAATTCACACAAGTAATCCCCAGCTAACTCGACCTTACTTCTAAATCAACTCAATAAATCCTTACACTTAAAATTCAAATCTATATGTATTCAAGTATATCATTCTTGAAATCAAATCAATAATTATTCCATTATATAATTCTTACTTCCAAAATTAACTTAATCAAATACAATTATTGATCCATTATATAGCCAACATACAAATCAAGAAATAATCCCTGATTATACTTAATCCACATTATCCATAGCACATTCCGATCCACTATGTTCCCACAAGATAAGGCACTAAATTACTTCAACCGGGCTTCCAAGATGTTGATGCCACAAACGTGACATGGCTACTGGATGCTGCTCCGAAAATCTGCTCCGCCGTTTGTCTGTCACTAACCGTTATTTATTCCCGATATGGAAGCCCTTCCGGCCACACCCCTTAACAGTTATCAGAATATAATATAATTTCTTTTCACTGATTTCAAATATACTAGTTTCAGGACTTTCCTGTGCTCAGCAAATTTTCAACACTGTATTCATCACTTTAAACTTTGTCTACCTGCCACCCGAGTTCATTTCTTTCTCTTCCAAAAACTGATTCACTTATGATTCTTTATTGCGACAATTAAAACTGCTTGTTGTTTCGCACTCGTGATTTCTTTTTTGCTTCTGTTGGTGGTGTCACCCTCTATCACATATGATCTCGGCCACTTTGAGTATAGAGCGTTTCTGTTTTTTGCATCGAACAGGGTTTTGTCGACTTGACCATATTTTTTGTCTGGAGTCCGCTCGAATATTCTATTTTTGATGTCTCGTCCCGGCTGTAGCATCCGCTTGCCCTCGCGCTGTTTACGTGATAACGCCTTCGTGTGTCTACGACATTATGTTTATATTATATATGCTGAGCTCATTTTTTATAATTTTTATGAAATGTCTCTGCACATAGATGGCTCTGCTCAGTGCTTAGCCACAAACGAGTCAATTAACCCCTCCCCCCCCCCCGGCATAAAATGGCATAGCTTCAAAAACCCATATAAAGATACCTAATACTTCGCTTCCTTGTCTTACGAACAGATTCATCGGATGTGGGCCTGGAGCCGTTCTTCTACAGTACATAGATGGTCGTCCATTCCCTGTAGCATACGCTAGTCGAAAACTATTAGACAGAGAGAGGAGGTATTCAACCATCGAGAAAGAAGGCTTGGCTTTAATATTCGGTATAAACCGATTTAATGGGTCAAGAAATTATCTTAGAAGTAGTCCAGAAGCCATTAATTTATATTGATAATTCAAGGTGGTCCAAACAATAGACTTTACGGTGGTCTTTAAGTTTGCAACCATATCGTTTACGGTTGGTTCACGTTGCAGGACGTGATAATCTTGGAGCGGATCTTCTAAGTCGTTCCGGAAATTAACTCGACCTTTTGAAAGGCATCTGTGGGAGAAACGCCAATTTTGAAATTATCATTATATCTCTTGGACTGTAGTATTTAGTTCGTAAATACTGGGACGTGCTTCAATTGGTAATAAAAGTTAAATATGTAAGTTTAGGGTAAAGCCGTACTGTAATTAAATGTATTGTCTAAATGTGGACAATGAAAAGGAAAATTGACTAGTGGTATAATTGTATTTGAAAAAAGAGTTATGGGTTATCTTGTAAATAAGTATTATAGTAGTCTGTTATTAACGCCATGTTGAAAGCTAGCGTCGTTAGTTTCTCACGGAAAACATATAAAGAATTATAGTTTGTTTGTATCAATCTGTTGGATAGATACTTGTTGAGGGAGCCGTGTGAAGAGCTACGGCTAGTAGTTTTATCTATTATTAAACTATGTTCGCTTGCATACGTGGCGGTTCGATACGGATTCGGGGTCGAATCCAGATTCGAATCCAGGTTCGATCCTGAGCCTGGTTGTAGGGTAGTGGGTACTGGGGGTCCTCACTCTACTCGACCAGTAAGGTGAGATTCTCTCCCTTTCATAGTTTTGGGAAATTTTGTTTTTTCTCTTTTGTGATTTTGGGAATCTGTTTTTGATATTGCAATGTATATGAACAATATTATACTTTTGCCATACATGCGCAGAAGAACTACTCGTTGCCCACGGGCCAGGCACGGAGGCTTTTTTATATCTTGTACGAAAACTGACCATCCAAATCCACGTGGCCGCTTCAAGATTACGACTCGAACCAGAAATTAGTGGTCATGAGTGGAAAGGAACATAGGGTTTTATTTGATTTGATAATGCAAAATGATTTGAAAATTGCGAACATTTGGTTGGTATAGAACTTTTCAATGTATCTCTATCTTTATTGTGAATAAACATTATTTTTTCGATATTCTGAATGTTTACTTGTTCCTCAAAATTAGCAAATCCTGTATGAAACTAAAAGATCCTGGTATTTACATAGACTTGAGATCTTACCTGATTTCACCTTTTCTTGAATTGGCGGGAAAAATTTAAATTTTACTAGTGCTATGAATATCCATGGTATTGTTTTTATTATGGCCATTGTAATTACTATAATGCTATAAATATTAGTAACAGTAAAATGAGATAACGTAAAATATTTTCGTAAATCAAAGAAAAGGGTTAAAGGGCGAGGACAAGGCAGTACTCGTAATTGCCTTCATTGAGTGGTTAGTACAGGTGTAGCCATCTATATGTAAAAAAAATAAATAAATAAATAAACAAGTAAACCCCACAGGGGGCATGTCATACACGTACACGTCATGCCCGTCGCATTGGGTTTTTTAAGAAAACACTTAAGATATATTGTGGTATCAATAAAATGTCATCATACAAGACAAATGCTGTACCATGTGCACTAATGATTTATAAAGAACCCAAAACCCGTACATATTTATCTCTATACCAAGGTCTGTCCTCTTTAGGTCCCAGACAAACTAGTTTGTAAATGGCTGATCAATACACAGAAAACTTTAAATATTCACTCGAGACCTCTTTAATTCTCATAATTTGACAAAGATCTTTTATTATATCTCACTTTAAAGTTCAGTTTTCTCTGGTGTGAAAATATGAAAGTTTTCCTCTTTTCTCAGAAGAATGTGTCAGTTAGAAAAGAAGCACGACCTCAGAGGGTAAACTGGGGCGGCGCTAGGAGTAGGTCCAGATGGTGTCCTCTCTCCAGCTGTGAAAGGAAAACAGTGTTCACTGCACCAGGTGAATGAATGGATTAGAATGAAGTATGATGTCGTAAACAATCACATTAACCATCATCGTCATCATCAATGTAATTATCATATCTCACCATTATTATTATCATTACCTTTTCATTATCATTATCACTATTATCAATCCTTATCATCATCAATAACCACCATAATCATTACCATCATCATCATTAGAATTTTCGTCATGATAACAATGATAATATGATAAGAAAAATTGTGGAGGAAGTACTACATTCTATCAAAATAATAATTTACATTCATAGAAACCAAATAAAATATCTAAATTATGTTGTAATGAAAATGATAAAAATAGTGTTGATAAAAATAAAAATGATAATAATAATAGCAGGGATGATGATAATAATGATAACAGCAAAAAAAAAAAACAGCAATAATAATAATAATAATAATAATAACAATAATGACAATAATAATAATAATAATAATAATAATGATAAATAATAAATCATTTCTTTGAGAGGGATGATGGAAGCATATGCTTGCAGTGATGATGAACTGGAAGGGCTTCTGAAAACGGTGAAAGCTTTTAGTGAAGACTTAGGCATGGAATTTGGCTTGAGTAAATGTGCCAAAACCACCTTTTTTAAAACATGGTAAATTAAGAAATACCAAAAATATAGTACTTGATGATGACTCCATCATCAAGAAACTAGATCAAGAGGGTACTACAAATACTTGGAGTTAATGAGGGTGACGGAATAACAGCCCGCAAAAATGAGGGAAACGATAAGGAAGGATTGTTATTCGCAGAGTAGATTCCATGATGAAGACGGGACTGAACTTTAAAAACAGAATTACCGCTATTAACACTTTAGCCCCCAATACCGGTAGTGACGTATAGTTTAATATTATAAACTGGAACTAAGTGAGCTCCAAAGGTTGGATAGTAAGATCAGAAAGCAGTTCACTTGTAACAGGATGCTTCACCCAAAAATCTGATGTAGATCGGTTATACCTCCCGCGTAGTAAAGGAGGAAGAGGTATGATTCAGTTAAAACTTTCATAAAAAACCTCGACAATAGATCTCGCTAAATACTTGGATAATGCTCATGACTGGCAGCTTCAACTAAGTAAACAGGAATGAGAACTCGAAAAGATTACACTCTGTCACCAAATAATCTGATAAATTCTCACGTTACATGCAATTTGAAGCTGATAATAATAATCGCTGGTCACATGCTGAGATTGCTCGCAAAGCAAAGAAAAAAACAGAAAGTGAAGGAATGAAGCAACCTGGAATCTCGCTGCGAGAAAAACCTCTCCATGGACAGTTCGCAGCTCGAGCCAATAACGCTGATGTAGACACACAAGCAAACCCATCAGTGGCTCCGTAGCTCTGGACTAAAAGCGGAAACAGAGGGCTTTATTCACGCTGCACAAGATCAAAAGTTTGTTCACAAGAAAATTGCCAGGCCAACATCTTACACCACGGTGCTGATCCAAAGTGCAGGTTTTGCGAAGACAAAGTAAAAACGATTGACCACCTAGTCTCTGGCTGCTCTATTTTAACACCAGGAGAGTATAAAAACAGACACGACAGGGTTGGTCAGTATCTCCACTGGAAGATTGTAACACTTTTCCATTAAATCTCACAGTAACTGGTACGAACACCACCCAGAACCTGGTACAAGAGGGAGAGAATGTTACTATTCTCTGAGATTTTTCGATTTCATACAGACCGCACGATCCAAGCAATCGTCCTGATATAGTTATTCAGAACAAGAAGACCAACCTATGCTTTCTTATTGATATGAGCGTGCCCTCTGAGAGAAATGTCTCCGCAAAAACCTTTGAAAAGCTTGCCAAGTACAAAGATCTTGAAATTGATATGAAAAGATGTCGAACGATCCCTGTAGTAATAGGTGCCTTAGGCCTGATAAAGAAATTAGCTAAATAATATCTCGACATGATCCCAGGAAATCCTTCATTACAAGAAATACAAAAAATTGTCCTTAACAGTACTGCACATGTATTAAGACGAGCTCTCACCATATAAATAAATACCGTTCGTTTCTTTTTTGTTTTCTTCTTTTTTATACATTTCATACCATATTAATCACAATTTACAAAACTTCCAATTTTCATCACCCTAGGTCACTGGTAGTGACCCGGTATTTGATCTTAATTAAAGCAATCAAGAGAATTTTAAAGACAATATTAATAATAATAATAATAATAATAACAACAATAACAACAACAACAAAAACAACAATAATAATCATCATCATCATCATAATAGTAATAATAATAATAATAATATAATAATAATAATAATAACAAAAACAGTAAAAATAATGATATTGAGACTGACAAAAATAATGATGACAATAATGATAGTTAAATGATGGGTAAGAACTACTATATCATGGATAATAATAATAATAATAATAAATAATAATAATAATAATAAAATAATAATAATAATGATAATGATAA